ACCGATAGAGTGGACCGACGGACCGATGTGTTGGTCTATAAGGCGGAAGTGAATCGGACGACAACATTGGGTGGCATTATCTTCCCATTGGTTGCCATCATTTGTTGCATTGGATACAAACTGATGCCCAAAAACACTAGTCTTCCGCCCGATCCCTACTATAAGCCCAGTTTCCTGGCCCGACACGTGCCCGAACTCGTGGTGATTGTATCCCTGTTTCACATCAATCTCTCGCGACGGTATATCTTGAGAATGTATTTCAATCACACGAAGAGTATGTTTACGGTGAGCACATGGCGATGGTATCTGCCATTTAAGACACACACGTTTCAGTGCAAACCCGGTTCCGCCGCAGAGTATAAACTTTTAGGCCTTAATAGTCCACTTTTGGGCGTATTCTTCGGGAACTGCAAAATCCAGAATACGAGGCATTTTATAAACGAAAATCACTTTACATTTCCGGCCTATTATAACGTGTTGTATGGCTTCAGTCCCGCGGAAGCTGTGGCCGATCTGAAGATCGCGGACGGAAAACAAGACACAGCACTCATGGATACAATGTTACGAAATCGTGAGAAAGAGATGTATTGATAGTGTTAATGATTTAGTCGTTTAGGACTTTAAAACTCTTTAATTAGTGAATATTTGTTTTTGAATCGTTTGACTCAATAAATACTATTTGTATAAAATATATAAATTGAGATCAAATACAATATTCAGAGATAACCACAAGAATAAAGGTATACAACATATAAAGGTATGTACGGAATGACAGCTAATGAGAGCTCAGTTGCGAAATTGTTGTGTTTTGTTGTGTAAATAAATTAAAATGCAATAAATTAATCAATGATTGCGGGGCCGATGTATGTGCTATCACTCCACCCACGAGTCCTGTAATTCAAATCAGATAACAGTAGTGGTTATCCCAGTCTTGATATAACATTGGTTTTCCAGACACAACAGCACTATATAAACATTTATACGGTATAAAAATTTTTGGCAATAAAAAGGCCTATTTTCATAGTTAAGAGACAATGCGTCCAATAATTGTGGCAAATACTGATCACTGGATAAGGCTTTTAAGGATAACTGTTAACACAGTTGTGATAAATGTTAAGTTAATTTCATTAAGTAATAGTAACAGCTTTTTTGCGAAAATAAATCCATTGATTGTGTGTTTCTTTCTTTTGTGATTGAATTAGCGAATCATTAAAGGCTGCCATTTGTCGAACTCTTCATCCTATTTAACAATAATTGAAATTATTTCATATGAATTAATGTATAGATTTATATGAATCAAAGTGTAAGCACAACACAGACCTCTCTTGGTTTGTTTTGATGAGCTGCTCCTCGATTCGTCCCAATTGTGTCCTAAAGTTTTGAGCTTTTGATGAATCGCCAATTCTTTCGGCTTCGGCTATCATTTTATTCAAATTACGTGAACTGTCCCTCAATTCTTGAATTGAACAATAAATGGGATCTTCGGACTAATTGTGATGAAAATATTAATTAGAAATTAAGTGATAAACAATTTAAGATATTAGTGAAGACCAGCACCTCATCTAATAAGCGAAAGCTTCATAAAGCGATTTATTGTAAGCATTTATTCTTAGACTAAGAGCAGCAGTGAAGGAATGAAATGTTAATTTTGTTAGTTTTGTTAATTGATTGTCAATTGATTTTGTAAACAATTAATACCCGAATAGTTTTAATATTGATGTGCACTAATAGTGAGGACAACTCTAATTCTTCGCTGTAATCGTTCTTCAAAGGGACACTTCTGTAACCTTTTACCGCATTTTTAAAACAAAAATTAATTAAATATTCATTTGAAGAAAAACGGCGATTGTTTTGGTGTAATACCAGTTCGGAGGCATTTGATTGGATACGTTCCGTGGCCTAAGAAATTGGGATCACCGAACATGTCCTCATCGTATACAGCGAATCGCAAAAATGCCAAATCCGGACAATCGATGTCAAACACAAATGTCTGATTCCAAACTGGATTAAAGCCATTGTCCGCTAGAAATGTACAAACAATTGGTTCATTATGATTGAAACCATGTATTTTTTGGCGCATTCAACAACTCACGAATAGTAGTGGTCTTCTGTTTGTGGGCGTCATAATCGGTGCCAACGATCTCCACCTCAACCAATGGACAGATGATACCTCTGCCAGACTTCATCAGATGTCTCGCTCCCAATACCTGAAAACAATACTCGTTTTAAACGTTTGAACACAACTTATGGTAAAGTTATCGCACTTTTATTGTTAAAGACAACGTTTCGACGCCTTTAAGCGAAGTCCTATCGCATGGATTGAAGTGTTCGTCAAACATGAGATCACTCCTCAACACATAACCCGAGCGACCGTTTTGTCTAAACTTTGCGCCATTCAATTGCATGGCTCTGTCGGGCGTCTGATAGTTAAGAGCTGCCATTTGGATTCCATTCAACCACATCTTCATGGGATCGTAATTTGACGAATCAATTCGTCCCCCTTTTGGGTAAACGCGAGTAAATTGTGTTTCGTTGTGCTTTATTAGCTTCACTTGACTGTTGTTTGGACTCAAAAACTTCTCCACTTTGGACTCAGGAAATGAAGACATTTCGGTGAAATGTCCGGCTTCTGAGTGAACGGCAATCAGAAATCATTAAAAATCATTAAATAGTAAAACATTAAATTAATTATTGGCTCACTATTGGGAACAAACTGAACGGCTCGACAGTAAATGATCAAATTTGATAACTCCTGCGCTATTCGTAAGCTTTTCTCCATTTCTTGATTTTGTCTAATCTGTTGTACGAAAAACAATGGTTTAGTTGTTATAATTAAAAGTGAACGCATTGTATAATAACAATATCATTGACGTGTTGTGAGGTCTCTCTAATCTTTGCGATCCAATCGAGTTTCTCGGCTTCGCTTTGCGCTGAAATTTCTATTGGAGTGGTTTGTGTGGGAGAAACCACACGAAACACATGCTCTCTTCCCCTAATCGTACCGTTCAGTGCCACTACAGAACAGCCGACAATATTGATGCTTCCCTTCTGGAGATTACCGAATGGTTGGCTCAGTTCTGAAGACTGCAAATTGCATACAAAAATTGGTGTGAAATTAGCGCCAAATAATAAACTATATCGAAAATGAATACCTTATCGGAGTTATCCGGGCCTTCAAACTCATCGACAAAGTTTGCGGGAAACCAGTGTTGCTTTTTGCCGCCGTAGTCGCCTCTCCACCAGCCGCCGCCGCTCTCCAGTCTTATCACATTTGTTATGATTGCGTGCTTACAGAATGATAGCTCATCGCCTCTTTCGGCCTTATAATCGTACAACGCTTTAACAGTCACGGGTTGTGCGTTGGGATTGTGATCCATATAATT